CCTCGGGCTTCCTGTAGTTAGCCGCTGGTCAGTTTCAGCAGCGGCTGAATCTGGACGCCAGTTCCGACTTACATACAGATTCAACTTAAGAACAAACCTACAGTCCCTATCTTGTACGTAACCCGGGGACTGCCTGTATTGCTGTTAGTAAAATAAAACAATGTAAATATCTGTCTAGTGATGTTCTCCTCCTAATACAGCATGCCAAGAAAATACTCCATTAATGATTAGCCTTTTGAACTGGAGATACAATTACCTTTGCTAAATGAAATAACCAATCATTTATTTTCTGATATTGCTGTAAAACTAACCTGAAAAATGTTCAAATCAAAAATTGTTCAAAAATATCTGGTGTGTACCTTCTTAAAAATTAAATCTACATCTCTCTCTGAGTTGTGTAAAATATGTATTAAGGTTATAACCACCAATAAGAATGCACTTTTACGTAGAAAACCATAATTAAATCAAGTCTTCCTGACTAGTGATTTAAAATAATGATTTAAATCAAATCCACCCTGACTATTACTGAATAGTCTTTCAACAAAACATCCCTGATTAAACTTATGCAGCTTGCTACAGAATTAGCAGTCCTTTTCTGCAAATTATTTCAGATTTTCACCATCTTTTTGGGTAAGGAGGAGTCTTCAAAATACCAACCATCGTAATAAAATCAATACATCCCCAACTTCCACCCACGGATTTTTTTTGCTACAATGCTGCTAATGCTAATTAAACCTTTAACATGCTAATTAAACCTTTATTCTTACAGTTACTAATTTTTGTTGATTAAATGGAGACAGCAGCCAGCTGAATTTCATGACAGCAAGCTATCAAAACAGATATTAATGAACTTGAATCATTCCGTTACAACAAGGGGAAGTGCTGTTTTACTAACATAAAAATTCAATCTGTTAGTTTGGCCTTAATGTTCAAAACTGGATGCCCAAAGTTCAAGTGGAAGATAGCTGCTGGATACTCAACATTTTGAAAGGTAAGCCCATAATCAGCTGTCTAACTGTGGATTCTAAGTACAGATTTTGGAGCCTATTTATAAGCACTTATTTATGCTTTTAATTGCTAGAAAGTCAATAACTGACCAGACAATCTCCATTACAGACTATTTACGGAGGCATGTGTAGCTGCTGCCCGCTATAACTTTGTTAGAAAGAGAGTTTGTCAAGGACAAACTATGATGGGCAGTACGGCTCAAGGATACTATATCTCAAATGAGGCACAGAACTTAGAGTAAAAAATAAAGGATGAATCACTGGCGTTCCACAAGGCGTACAGATAGTTCGGAATAGGCTTCCTATTCCGAACTATCTAGTTCATGCCGCGTATAGCCGCGGGCACGGAGTCCGCACTAGCAGACATTTAAAAATGGCGGCACCCGGCAACATGCAAATGAAGCCCGGGAAATTCAAATCCCAGGCTTCATTTGCAAGTTCGTATGCCTACATTAACCACCCTAGTTCGAACTAGGGTGGTAGTGTAGACATACCCTAAGTCTAGAAGGTGTCATAGGACTCTGTCGCTTTTGCAGATCCAGACTTACATGGCTACCCCTCTGATCTTTGTTTCAGTTACCATATTGTTAACTTAGATCCTGTTGACCCTATAGAAAGTCAACTAACATTTTCCACAGTATTATAAAAAGACACCCGATAAGTGAATGGGCAATAGTTAGCACAGATCAACAGATCTGATGACCTTCACATGTATCCAATGAGCATACCCTCTACTCACAACCAGCTACTAATGTGAAAATTTTGTTATGTTTAATACATTCAATCTTTGCTAACAGTTCTAGTATACTCAGTGGGGCAGTCTTACTAAATTTTCAAGTCCAAGAAAACACAAATTGCATGAGCAGTCCATTTAACTAAAAGAGCCAACATTTCTACTGCCAACGATGTTATTTTTTCTACTGCCAACTATGTTCTTTTTTCTTTACTAATGAGTAACAACAGTGACATCTAGTGTCTGCCTGGTTTAACTCTTGGTACCAACACCACATTAGAAGTGTTACTACTATTCAGAACATTTCTCACAGCACCATACGTTTAAACTGTGCTTTCCATTGATAAGACATGTTTCCTGTGCTGATCAGCATGTTCTTTACTGGCAACAGAGACTGGCACAAAATTAAAGACAGCTCTTAAAAGCTCAGCGCAATTAAAAACTACGAAAAAAGTCTCAACTCACAGAAAGAAGTTGGTATCACAACACACACTACTTTACCACCTGAACCTCACAACTCTATGCTTTCCAGCTAAATGTTAGACAGTTTCACAAAATCTCCAAGCCAGGACCAATGTTCCTGGTAAACTGTGTACTTGTGCACCCGCTCAGAAAAGATTCAGATGCCTCCCAGAATTTGATTAACAGGGCGTCCACATCTAGGTTTTTTGTTGCTCCCCATTAGCATGCCTTAGTGTTCATAAACAATTTATTCTGCACATGGATGAAAGAAATCTACACATGGGTGGAAAAGAGCAGAGGGAACACTGGTCACGACCAAGTCCTGTGGGAATTTGATCAGGCTCTTAATCAGGTAATATTCGGCCCAGCTTTCCGAAAAGCTATGTGGGGATAGACCCCAGTCTGTGTTTCATGTTCAAATATAGTGGCTTTAATTTTTATCCAGCAGAACCTCACTGTGAAACTCATCAGGAAATGATGAATTCTGCAAATCAGTAAGTAAAACTCAGCTCATTTCAAAAATGCATTTTTCACTGTGAAAGTTGTAGTTGCGTTTTTATTACTGATCTATTTCATAGTGTGCTGGCAAATGCTGTGCTGCATATTTGTTGGGAAAAGAATGAGCTCTCCTGACACCACACTTATTAATATTTGCTACTAGAAGATTTGCTTGGCTTTGCTCAGGTCCTTCAGGGAAGGGGGCTGAGGAGGTGGGGGTGCAAGAGTCAGAGCACAAGGGTGGGGACACAGGTGCAGTGGTGGGGGTCTCAGTGCAGAGAATAGGGGTGGTGCAGGAGTTGAGGCAGGGGATGGGGTGGTCAGGGAAGAGAAGGAGGGGTGAAGGAGTCAGGGCAAGGGGCAGCTCGATGCTGCTCCCCGGGGCCGGTCCAGGGTGGCAGGGGTTGCCACTGTCCAGCTGCTCCTCAAGGCTGGGCAGGGCCCGGCCTGGGGCAGCAGGGATCAATCACACTGTCTGGCCATCGGCATTGCTCCCCAGGGCCAGCCTGTGGTAGCAAGGCACGTTGGTCCTCTAGGCCAGCCAGGGCGGTGGGGGCCTCAGTGCTTGGCCACCAGCTGCTCCACAGCTCTGCAGGGCTGTCAGGATAACGGGGGCATGCTTGCTTGCTGCCCCCATGTGGTCATTCCGGAGTACAACTGTCTCTGCTATCACAGCCCCCCCCTTTCCACTTGATGAGAAACAATCCCATTCCAGGCACATCCCATTGTCCTAGCACTGCCAAACCCTGACCTTGCTTTAAGTTATGATAAAAGGAAGCTGCCTACTAAAATTTGGTGGTCCTAGCTCTTCCCATTTAGCAAGAGTTCTTGAATAACGAGACTCACAGACAAACAGACAGACGCAGAGCACCCTTTTCTGAAACAAGTAGATCTGTAAAGTACTCCTGAAATACTTTTTCAATTTCTCATCTATTTTGTCATCTCTCCATTAACTGCCCCAAAAAGTCTTCAGTAAAGAGATTCTTATAAAACAAGCAGTCTGACAGATACACAAAATTATTTCTGCAAAATAGTTTCAAGTGTCTAGTTCTGCAATTAAACTCCTTAAAGGCTGAAGCTGAGCCAAATGCAATTTGCTTCAGCCTATTACAAGTAGCAAATGTCGCCTCAACATCTTTCTGTTCTTTCTAGACTTTAATAATCTTTATATCTTAAGATTCCATTTTTCAAACATCAATATTTAAACTTTCCCATATGCCCCAACATAAAATCAGTGCCTAATATCTGTTGTCTTTCTTTAATTGTATATTGTCCATAAAACCTAAGCAGTCCACACTCATGAACAACTTTGTTAGCATGTGTTAATACTAATCCATTCCAGTGTTTCATTTAAAAAATTTACCTGGGTTTACAGTTAGCTGAAAGTAATGGAGCTTGTTTGGATCTGGAAAATTCACTTTACACGTACCTGCAAAGGGGGGAAAAAGTCATGAAAATCATCTCTTTCCATTTTGGGGAGCCCAAATGTCCAATCTCTGCCTTCATTCAGCGAGTACTGCTTTTATTCCAGTGAGCTCATTAGCTGGGGCTCTCTCAAACACTCTCATGCCCCTCCCTATATAGTTTGGGTTCAATGGAAGTCATGTCATCAAATCACCCTCCATACTGTTACGATCTGCAGTTACAAAGAAGGAAAAATGTACCACAACAAGAAAGTAGGCCATGGGGTATTTGTAACGCTAATTAGGTCCTATTATAGTTGCCATTGACAGATAATCCAAGTCTAGAAAGGTGGGACATACAGAACCACTAGCATTTCCCTCAAAGTTCTAGAGGCAGCAACTCCACTTTAAAGTTTTCTGTCCTCAAATCCAGTCTCCTTAAAGGAACCTCAAATGGAATTGCCGTACTGAAATGGACCGGTGGACTTCCCCAGTCCGATAATGAGCCTCTGGCAGTCCCATGTGTCTCATGCTCCAAAAAAGGACCAGAATAGACTGAGCAGGTTATACACATATAAACCTTTGGCTGAATAACTTTTCCACCAAACCATGATCATATTAATGACCTGAAGTACAATGACCAATACTAACTTGTAATTTTCACAGTCTTGATAGAGTAACTGCAAATATTCCTCTTCACGTAAAAGAGCACTTGAAGGGGGAAAAAAAAACCTTAACACTTATGGAGAGGAAAAAGATTTCCCAAACAAACAGGGAGAAATCTCTGCCATAAATTGATGCAAATGCTAAACACAGATTTATACAGAAGTATGACAGACTGTACAGCAGGGATCTCAAACTCCTGGCCCATAGGCCATCTAGTGCTGGAGAATATTCGCAATCTGGCCAGGGAGAGCAGGTGGTGTCCAAACCTGACCCCATGTCCCATCCCTTCCTACCACGGCCCTGCTCTTTTCCCCCTATGACATCCTGCCCCCTGAGGGGCCCAGCCTTGGGGATTATTGGGGGGCCTGGTGTGGGGAAACAGCAGTAGTTGCCCCCTGTCCTCCAGCACTGATGGGAGCCACATGGAAGCGAAGCGCACTCGGCAGGTGCACTCACTCCACACTTCCTGGCAGCTCCTGTAGGAAGGGGTGGGGCTTAAGGAATGGTTTAGACACGCCATCCGTGGGCCACCAGGTCAGATTGCAAATATGCTCCGGCCCATGGGCTGGGAGTTTGAGACCCCTGCTTTAGAGTGAAGTACAATTCTGGGAAACTCTAAACACCAGAACAGGCCAGATGACGTCTGTCACCTCGAAAAAAGCAAAATTCGGTTTTTCCCTTTCTATAGAAAGTTTCACATTTTAAAAGGAAGAACTACATTCCTCAGGTCTGTGTCCCAAGTTATTTCCTTCACAAACCAGAGACAGTTGATTCACTCTGCAAATCTTTATGTTTTAATTTAATGTACTACTTTCTAAAAACCTCCCTTTGCCACACCACTTGTATCCATACAGAAAAACAGACTCCAAGATTGCCGTGTACTGGAAATCACTCAGGAGCTGATTGGCATAAGATACTATTATAACAAGGACAGTCCTAATGTGACGGACCACGTCTTTTGTGGCACTGAAAGTCAGGAGTTACTATTTTTGAACATCAGGGTTTCTAAGTGGGACAGTAACTTCCATGACAGCCTATGGTACACTATTCTGTACTGCATTCCACAACACATTAACTAAAAATACTATTCACATCCACAAAGTGCAACAACAGCTGTGTTGTACTAAATAGAATACGTCTGTTACCCAGGGACCCCTTGCTGCCAGTTGGCTGTGATTCTACAAGGATCCCTTCGGTTAGATATCAGCATAATAATTCACCAAAGGGTGGCACGTGAAATCTTTATCCAGAGCAAATAACCAACTGATTATCATCATAATTGTGAAATGTGGGTATGGATAATAGTTTCTCACGGCATATTTTAACACATCCTCCCACCCCTGCACACATTTAAATATTTTAGCACAAAATAAATTGCACATCAAAACTAAACAAATCTACCTAACATTCCTTGCTCCTTTAAGAACAAAAAGTGCAGATCTCATCTCTCAGGAGTTATTTTTAAAGTAGTATCCCCAATATTCTAATCTAGTGATTGTGTCAAGTGACAGCAGCCTGAAAATGATGATGAACTACTAAATCTGTTTTACAGAAAGAGTTAACTCTTTAACTCTCCTTTATCCTTTAATTAAGTATCCCACTTCACTTGCAAATTAGAGAGAGAAAAGGGAGAAGGTACCAGCAGATATCCCCACTCAGAGAACAGAAACCCCTTTAATCCCTGAGATTATTATTGGAGAAGGAAATTAAGTTTCCCCAAATCTATAGCAGTGTAGATTTAAAAAAAAATAGTTGTTACTGTTTGGAAGGGAAGTTAGTAACAGATAGCCCCTAGAAGAAATACATATATTGCCAACCCACTGAATGCTTAAAAAAGATGAATATGCATTGCCATCTGCACAAAATAATGTAAATATCATTGTTCAAAATTATCAGAAAACAAGCAAGCTGTCTCCATGCAATTTATCCTTCGCCTTGAAATGCATAAAATTGAACACCATACTTACAAGGTAAATTAGCTTCAAGTTCTGCAACCTCTGTTGAAAAGAAAAGAGATTACCATTAGCGCTGGCTTCATTTTGCATGTGAAAAAAAAAAAAAAGGTCTGAATAGACAGAAGTGCTCAGCTTAAACAAACTTTTAAACACAAAGAACAACATGTCACTGTTTTCAAGGTATCATTTACTCTGTTCCAAGACATCGCCTTCAATCCCTCCTTGTACCACACTTCGTGAAATTTGGAGATGTTTATCATGAAGTTCAACTTCTCTTCATACTCCCTGGATAGATGCTTAAGCAACAAGCCGTGAGATCAACTCTTTTTAAGACAGGGTGTATCTGAGGACGAACGTCTGAGAGATTAGAGCTCTACATACAAGGTTCATAGCACCTACAAGTGGGGAAGTTTTGTTTATTTTTTGGGAATAACTTATTGCATGTAAGCCTCACAGTTGAGGAAGAGAGATTATAGGCAGCCAAAAACAAGCAAAAAACCTTCTTTCATGTCATTCCACTGGCTTGCAGTAAAATTATAGATTTTAGCTTGCCGTAAAATCATAGGCCATTTTTAAAGAGCAGACCAACATTCCCCTCAAACCAAAATCATTTGCTAGTTGTATTAAGTCAGTATAGAATGCTTTGCACAAAAATGCATAGCTACCAAAACATATGCACAGCAAAGCTCACTGTCCGAAAAATAAATGTCACTTCAGTGACGGGAAAGCCCCAAACGGGATATGTGTCCTAAGCATTAAGATATTTATTTGATATTTGAAGCCTTCCACCATTTTCTTGGAAGCAAGAATGGCATGGTATATGCAATAAGCAGGTAAAATCATGGTTTTTAATGCCCCAGGTGTCACATTATCGGATTAAAATATGATCATGTATATCACTGTTGCAACCACTGTTATATATTCACAACAAATCTTGTATAAACTATGCCAAATAAAATACCTAGGAAGAGCTTATGTTCTGCTGGTTATGGTTAAGCTATTTGTATGCACGTATCATTTTTGTGTTTGAAGTCATGAGTATTGTCTACGTGCTTGTATTTCAGTAAGTTTGATTCTGAGCAGCAACAGTGACGCATTTGGGCTGTGTATTCTGAATGCACTATTCAAGTTGAATGGCCAATTGAGGAGTAATTGTCTATAGCCAAGCCAAGGTACAGCCGCATTTGCTCTAATCCCACTGACAGAGACCAGAAACTTCAGGATCTCTACCAAGCATTTGTAAATCTCAATTACCCACCAAGGGTAATAAAAAAAACAAATTGAAAAGAGCCAGACGAATACCCAGAAACCATCTACTTCAAGACAGGCCCAAGAAAACCAACAATAGAACACCACTTGTCATCACCTATAGCCCCCAACTTAAACCCCTCCAACACATTATCAATAACCTACAATGTATGCTGGAATAGGATACTACACTCCGAGAAGCCCTGGGAGACAGACCCATAGTCTCCTATAGACAACCACTTAACCTCAGGTTGATTCTTACCAACCACCACAGGACATGACATATACCAATACCAACCCTGGAACTTTCCCTTGCCAACAAACCCCGTTGCCAACTTTGTCCGCATATTTACTCAGGTGACATCATCACTGAACCTAACCATGTCAGTTACAAGATCAAGAACACATATTCCTGTTCATCCAGAAATATAATTTATGCCATCATGTGCCGACAGTGTCCTTCTGCTATGTATATTGGACAGACTTCTCAGATACTTCGCCAAAAAATTAATGCCTGCAAATCAGACACCTTCACAAAGATAAACCAGTTTCTTTTCATTTCAACCGACCTGAGCATAGTCTTAACAACCTTACTACATGTATCTTACTTCAAAGAGACTTTAACACCAGACTACAAAGGGAAACCTCAGAACTGTCATTCATGCTTAAATTTGATACTTTACGAATGGGCCTCAACAAAGATGCTAACTACCTTACCCATTACAAAGATAGCTTCCCCAATTATCACCTCTAGTATCATTCTCTCAGATACTAGCCCTCCCCCTCGCCCCGCTTCTGTTCTAAATCTGATTTGTCAGTTTTATAATGTGTTCACTTTTTTTCATTGTATTCCTTTGGTATATACGGTCATGCCAATTCTCTTCCAGAATTTGATCTGAGGAAGTGGGTCTGGTCCATGAAAGCTCATCACCTAATAAACCATCTTGTTAGTCTTTAAAGTGCTGCATAGTCCCTTCTTTTGTTTCAATAGACCCTGAGACACCCCCATCCACAACTGAGGAGCCTGCCAGGAAACATTCAGATTAGCACATGGGCAACGGCACCAATGTACATCAACCTGCCTGGACAGAGAATTTCTAGAATCCATTAAAACGGACTCATGACTTGAGTTGGCACCGTCACTGGAATACACAATGTGTTATGGAGTAAGGACTGGAGAACGAAGGAAGTCTTGGAATTCTTTCCTTTTCTCTCTCCGTTGAAATAAATGAAAATCTAAAGTTATCAAGCTAAACAGTAGATCAAGAAATAGATATTTCTATCATCAACTCACTGACTAGTATTTCTGATTCCCTAAGAAGCAACACGTACATATGCACATGGTAGCAGAGTTAACACAGCAGCTTCTATATTCCATTGATAAATTTTGGTGATGATAACATCAGCTACTTTGACTTTCTTATTTCGTTATCTATTAGCAAAGGTTCCCCTTCTTAACCACTGTTTGGAGGATTCCAAGTGACTATACCCACTATAAACCAAACCGGACATCTCTAGAACTACCCAGCCATGAATGATATCTTTTTGTAACAAAGACAGGCAGGAACAACCTAACAAATATATTAAACAGCCTAGAAAAAATCTCTCTCATGTTTTTCAAACTGCCCCCAAACCTTTCATTTAGTGGCATAATGCAATGTCTGAAATTTTGCTTGGAATATAAACCGTCCCATCATAGACAGCAACAACATGTGGGGATGTTTTTGGTTTTTTTTTTTTAAATGCTTAGAACAGGGTTGGGTAAATACCAGCCTGCAGGTGAGATCCTGTCGGGCAGGATTAGACCCTGGCAGGTCACCACTACTCTATTTACTTGCACGGCTGCAGATACTGGCGATCCTCACTCCCGTTGACTGCAGATTGCTGTTTCCGGCCAATGGCAGCTGCAGGCAGTTGTGGCCTTCCTGCAGCTTCCACTGGCTGGGAATGGGCAATTCATGTCCAATGGGAGCAGCAACATAGCAGCGGCAGGCTGACATGGGCTAACCCTCACTAACTGCCACCGCTGTCTTGCCCAATCTTGGCTCAGAACATTAACATGCCGTGTTTTGTGATTATTGGTACATGGTGCAATGTTTCGTTACACAGGAAGCAAGCCCATCCCCGTTTTAACCAGAGTGGATTGAAAGTGACTTTCAGAAAGTGAACGATGAAAAGTTGTTTCATGAAAGATTAGATTTACAAGAGAAGTGGAAGACAGGAGAATCAAATGCAGATAATATTATATGGCGAATGTGAAATTGAACAGAAAAGCTGAGATTAGTCAAAAATATAGTTCAAGAATTAGTGAAAACTAATATGAGAAACATTTCTTAAAACAAGCATCTATTAAAATGAGTAGAGTAATTTATTGGAAGGACAAAGCGGAATCCCTAAATAGCTTGGTAAATTTGCAACAGAGATGGAACAGCAGCAAGACGACATTTATAGATGCTCTGGTTACAGAAACTCAATGTCTCACACTGACCTCCACTTTAAGAAGCCATTCCAGCTCAGTATTTACACTAATAATGTACAGCTAAAAATAAGCTACTGAAAGTAATTAATTACATTAATCTGTTTTGAGACTAAATGCTGAAGTGTGTGTCAAACTTATCAGGTTGAACCAAGTTATTATATGCAGTACGCATCTGAAGTTGGTAATTCAATTAGGCTAAATGCCATATACTATATCTGCATGTAACACACTTCAATTTATTGGAAGGACAAAGCGGAATCCCTAAATAGCTTGGTAAATTTGCAACAGAGATGGAACAGCAGCAAGACGACATTTATAGATGCTCTGGTTACAGAAACTCAATGTCTCACACTGACCTCCACTTTAAGAAGCCATTCCAGCTCAGTATTTACACTAATAATGTACAGCTAAAAATAAGCTACTGAAAGTAATTAATTACATTAATCTGTTTTGAGACTAAATGCTGAAGTGTGTGTCAAACTTATCAGGTTGAACCAAGTTATTATATGCAGTACGCATCTGAAGTTGGTAATTCAATTAGGCTAAATGCCATATACTATATCTGCATGTAACAAACTTCCTGTTCAAATACAGCATAATCAGAAGTTTAACTCATTTTATTAAATGTCTCTTTCTTTGCTGTATGCATAATACATGAATAATCAAATGTATTAACCACTAGAACTTTGCTGCTGTTTTACTATTCTATTGATGTTCTACATATACACAATGCAGCTAACTGGCCATTCAAACCAATTTTATTTGTGGAGGGCGTACTCTTCACACTACAATGCCTCACAATTAGAAGCAGCTATTATTATAACGGATCCCCCGTTTTAAAAATCTGAAAAGAAAACAGAACACTGTGGGGTTTTAAATCAGTCTGAAAATGTATATGTACTGTTGCAAGTATCAGCTTCTGTTATGCGATTCCCACAATGCAGAACAGATGTTTAAATCTCAACCTAAAATATAGAATTTTCTTTTTTAGATTTCAAACATATTGCTATTGACATGAAGCTTCACACACATTTCTAGTGCAGAATCTAAACTGATGAGACAACAACTCTTTAAGGAAAAGTAAGTTGTGTGTCATTAAAGTGGTTTTCTGTTAGACATGGCACGTGACAAACACTGGAGAGATCTCGCTCGCTAGTTCTCATTTTTACTTTTGCTTATAGCCTGTGTCAGTGTTTTCCATGCATTGTACAATGGTTCCCCGTCTGTGTCAGCCTTTCATATGACTGGGAAGTGAAAAACATTTAAAAAACTGGAACATCATTCTAAAACCACACAAATTAGCTGGGGGTGCAGACAAGGGGAATAAGAACTGAGCAGCAACTGCAGAACCTGAATCTACTACTAACTCTTCTTCAGAATCAATTTCAAATCGATTAATCTTTTGAAACAATTTAGAGCATTAACAAATGTGAAAAAAGATTAAGTCGAACATTAATAAATTCACTCTGTTAAAAAACAAGAGCTTTTAACCAATAAACTCCTCCTTCCTCACTGTAAAATTCCCCAATGACACAGATACGAACACAAAGCAGGATCTTGCTTTGACATACGCACGAGCATGAAGCTCAGACCTGAGCCCCGAAAATTAGATGAGATCCTCCCTCATCCCCCTTTACTGAACAAAAGAATACAGGTTGCACTTCTATAAACTGGGACTCTCTGGTCCTGCAACAGATCACAGATGTTCCAGAATCAGAGAGTACCTGCGTGGTGTAGGGCAGGGACGGTGGACTGCAAGGAGGGTGGGCACAAGGAGCAGGGAGCCAGGAAGCCCGGGGGGGGGGGGGGGGGGGGGGGAGGGTAGGAGAAGCAGAGGGGCCAGAAATAATCTCCCCTGGTCCAGCAAAATCTCTCATCCAGGACCAGTGAGGTCCTGAGGATGCTGGACCAGGAAGATGCAACTTCTATAGGGAAATCACATTTTGTTTTGTGCATCTTTGAACCTGCCTGAATTCAAGACATGTCTTTGACATTTATGTCAACGCAATTCCATTCTCCATATCCCAATTCCAATAACGTAACTCACACTGACATTTCCATTTCCATTCTTCTTACTAAAAACTGTATCAACTCTATTATTGAAGGTGGATGGATGTTTCGCTCCCCTGAGCTATATAATTAAATTGTGGGATTGGTATTACAAATGAAGAGAACTTGTAAAGTCCAACAAAGATTTTGTTCAATACCCATTTTTAATTAGAGTAAAAGATGTAAACGGAACTTCTTCCTCTTCCAAATGCTTACCCGAAAGAGGATGTTGTTAAACCACACACTTCGCCTATATGCAATATAACAGTAGCCTACTGAATTATCAGAAAACTAGCAGCAGTAAGTGAAATAAACCTTGCAGGCTATCAGTGCAAAGGAATGGAAGATACAAATGTCTGTCTAATCCAGGAAAAACCACACAATATGCAACCTTGCACAAGTTCAGTTTACTTGTACCACAGAGATACACACATGAAAATTAGGTACAAGTAAGGACTAAAATTAAACTCAGATAACGTATCAGCGCAAACCTCTCCTCTGTAAGCTCAACACTAGAAATAAAGCCCAGACAATACTTTCCTTCGGATTTGTTCCAAAATCTCTTACCTTAATTAACTGATGTGGGCTTTATTGTATTTATCACATACTGTAATGATCATTTCATTGTAATTCCATTTTAGTTTACCATCAATAAGTGTTGATCTTTAATTTACCCTCAAGCTTTTCTTGTCTTTCTTCCCAAAAAAGCAACATTTTACTGTAAGATGATGCTATGAATCTACAAAAATATATTCCTCTTTCAGCATGCAATGCCTTTTGTGACAGTCAGAAAAGGCCTCTTCCAGACATAAAAGAAGATAAACGAATTCATAACTGAACTCTTTTTCAATCTTTAGATGGACAATGCTATGGAAATGTAAAGTATTTATCTCTTTTTCAACCACACTGATCTTCTTGCTCGTTATTCTGAGTAACAAGTAGAATTACCGTAACAAAAGGATTAGAGTAAAAACTAATTTCAGTGTTTTTCCCAGTTTATTCACAAGGTGCATTTACATACACTTTTTAATCACTTTCCAATTTGGGAAGTCTTTCATAACGTAAAAGCACGGAAAAAAATTAAAATACGAAAATCTGGTTGTAAAACCACAAAAATGATCAGCATGCTTATGGGGCAAGCACAGTCTCTAGAACAATTAATTCCACTTTTTTAACATCTGGTAGCTTGAAATCTCGGCCATATCTCATCAACAGAATGAAATATACAAGTGCAGAGGTGGTGAAAAATAAGATTTTTCTGTACTTTAAAAAATACAGATGAATAAAATGTATGAATGGTCCCATATGCATATATATTAAACTTTCATCACTGACACTCTAGCATGGTATTTTATTGAATAAATAACTTTATAATAAAATGCAATTCTCATATTTTTGCTTGCCGGCCTCTCAGTCATTCAAAAATAATCTGTCTTTGGCTCAGTCCTCTGAGGCACTGACCATCTTAACCAGTCACGACTCACACAAAAGCTGGTCTTCAAAAAATGAAAAGACGGGTCACTGCAAAAAATGAGTTCTCCCTCTCAGCTGAACGTGATGGCTTTCAAACACTTGAACAGCAAAGTTATAAGTGCCATTTCCAATCTCTGAAAGCTAGCCTGTGCCCACGGTATGTCAGGTGCCAGGAACAGATGGCGAGAATAACACAGAGGTGGCTAAGTACAAGGGGCAAGAGTATGAGCCTTGGTCTACACAAGCTATTTTGCATTGACCTAGTTATGCAGAGGTCTTCACTTAACTCTGTCTCCCATTGATGTGAGTGACCCATGTCAACGACACCGTAACATCTCTTCCCCTTGAGCTCCAACCTGCTCCCTCCATCATTTTCTCCCCACTGGGCACATGTGCCTCATCTCTACATTTATCTTTCAGTTCATGTTAGTTTCAAGTAGGTGTCTCCATTTTCTCCTCAGACCTTCTCAGGGGCAGGCACCCTGATCTACTTCTCCCCATTACGGATGTTAGGAAGCAGGTAACTGACTAATCATGTACTGGGTACAATTTGTATCGAGTACACGATTAGTCAATAAGAGGCCCTGCTGCGGCTCTGCAGTTTAAATGGAGTAGGAGCTGGGTGTACAGGCAGGCCGGCTCCTCCTACATTTAAACTGCAGAGCCACAGCGGGGGTAGGTCCGGACCTAGCATGAGCTGGGACTGAGCAGTCCCAAATGGTGCTGGCTCCAGGACCGCTACAACTCTGGTCCCCACCCGTGCACTTTGAAGACAGTGTTCGGGAGGAACCGACATTTAAGCCGGCTCCCCGCAGCACCAGCTCCTGCTTTCCCCCCCACCTTTGCTGCCTCTGATACAGCCTAAGCATATCAGGTAGGTGATTACATTCCTACTGCCCATTCTCTCTACTGTCACACACCTAACTGCGCCAACCCTGGGCTTTGCTTCTGGTTCTTTTCTATCACATTAACTTTAGCACAAGAACAGTCTATCCTAGGGATTTTAGGCAGCAGATGAACAGATCAGAACTTGGGGTTATCAGTGAGCGCCTATCCCAAGATGACGTGTGTATCTCCTGTTTGGCTCCCAGATTATGGAGCTTTTAATTGTGCGACATCAACTGCAGAAGCAGTTAGCAGGGGAGAAGCAGCCATGTTAATTACTGTTTATCATCCATGACAGCAGCAACCAGTGACCAGAGAGCAACATGGCTGGAAAACAACATTCCTAACTCCCACAATTACTTCCTCCTGTAAGATCTTCAGGACAGGGGCCATCTTTGTATTGTGTGTTTGCAGAATTCCTAGCACAACAGAGTCCTTGTCCCTGGCTAGCATTAGCATTAATAATAATAATCACTCAAAGTCGACAGTAGCCTCCCAAGTTGGGGATGCGCGACTTGGAACTAGGTAAAACTCTTGCACACAGCAGTAAGAAATTGATCTAATCCCCTAGTGTAGACTAAGAATGTAAAATCGCATTTAATTAGTTAACAAGTTAAACATTTAAGTTTGGCCAGTTAACTGATGAAACAGGGACAGGCAGGAGCCCATTCCAACCTGCTGGACTCGAGTGCCTCCCCCTGCCCACCAAAAATGGACCGGAGCAACCTGCATTTCATGGGCAGGGCTGCTCTAGACACTGTGCCAGGCTGCCAATTCCCAAGCCACATGGGGCTAGAAATGGCAGCATGGGGCAGAGATCTGCCAACTCCCACCCCACAACCCTTCTCTCCGACTGCCACTTCTGCTCTCTCACCCCCCCGCCCCCGCGAGACTGCAGACTCGAGTTTGCACAGTCCCCTCTGCTAGCATTGGGCCACCGGTGGGGAGGCTGCTCCCAGGTAGCCGGTTACCCTTTCACATCTCTAGTGTAGACCTGGCCTTAGTCTACTAAAGTTTGTTAGGGATGGTTACAACAGCCACTGTATCTTCATATCACTTACCCATTGTGTGGAGGAGGAAGAATCTAAATATATATTTTTAAATTGAAAACATTGTTGCCATTAAGGGTGCTATGAAAATTCATCTGACAGAAAATGAAACGGTTATCTATGGTACAACCGTGCTTCTTTTGTAAGAAAAATGGTGCCAGTACTCCAAGGGGAAAGTTACTGAGCAAAAAAAACCAAACAAAAAAAGTGTTCGCGCGCGCGCACACACACACACACACACACACACACACACACACACACACACACACAGGGCTTGACTAATTGTGGCAAAATCTACATGCCAGCCACACACACACACACACACACACACACACAGAGGGCTTGACTAACAGTGGCGAAATCTACTTGCCAGCCCTGCACTGCGCATGCACAAGACCGGCTGAAATCTACTCGCCATGGGCGAGAAGAAACAGCGATTTGTCGAGCCCTGTATACATACATACATAAGTACACACACACACACACACACACACGCGCATGCCATCGCAGCCCCTTGAAGAGCTGCATGTCCCGAGTGGTCTTCCATCGGGAGCCCAGCCACTAGTACACCTGGGGGGAATGCAATTCATTTCAGTTACGCAGGGAAAATAGGTGCCGGTACGCTGTCCCGGGACATACCGTCACAAAAAATGCACTGAGTACAACCATCCTATTTTACTCTTTTGTATCACAGGCAGTGATTGGAAGGTAAATTACATCACCATTTCTGTTAACAGGGCACACAAGCATTCTTTAACTCTTTTGTACAGCATTTAGTTTTGTTAGTTGATTAAATAACTATACTTAATGAGACAGCATGTCTCTTAAACAGAAGGATTAATTACCTTTAACAAGCAATTTATCTCTAATAGACACTCTCCGCGTCGAATCAGAAGCTGGGTTGGATGCACGGGGCCCTTTGACACCATCATCCCGCTTCAGTTTGCTTGCCAGCGTTAGCATTACTGCCACCTTCAACCTAGAACGCAGGCATCAGAGTAAGCTTAGTCACTACAGTTCCACATGCAAGATACAAAGTAGTCAAAAGTTACAACTAATAATAGATCTAAGTAGTATCCCTGGCTTGAAAGACTACAGCCGCGCAAGTGCAGCTGCACAGCTGTAGTGCTTCAGTAACGACATTAACAACATTGACAGGAGGTCTCCTTTTGGTATAGCTAATCCACCTCCTGGAGAGGTGGAAGAACCCAACCTAGCGCAATCGACAGACTTCGGTCAGTTTCACTATGGTGCTCTGAGCAAGGGGAGATAATTTCATGTGCAAATACTAAAGAGCTAGGTCATACCACATTAGGTTACAGTGCAAGTGATTAGAGTAGAGAATTCACACTAGCTTTAATGCATTCCGTAGATTTCGCTTCTGTTCTAGTGATAATTCACTGTACTAACCAGCTAATTGTGCCACTTGACGTCACTGTCTGCACAGAAATACACAGAAAAGCCATGGAGGGTGGGGAGTGTCACCGGCTCCTTTCAAGTAATTGCAAACATCGGAGGGCACTTGCACATTTTTGGAGGCTACTGCTCTATAGGAGCAAAGTGCTGCATTCAAAGAGAACCCTCCCCTCATGAGTTCTGGCCCTGCAGAACAGGGGGCGGGGGGCACTTAGCCTGTTGGAGGGAGGGATATTACAAAATCTCCATTCTTGCTGAATCTGCTTTGAGTGCGGCAGGAAGAAAGACATCCCCATCAGGTCCTCCCCACGCTTGCTGGCAGCCTAAGGAACTACAAGTGGAGAGACACTGCTCTGATGTATGGTGAGAAGGGTCATCAAAGGCTTAGTCTACACCAGCGGTGGGCAATGTATGGCCCGAGAGCCACACGCAGCCTATCAAGGTTGTGTGTGCGGCCAGCTAGACATTTTGTTTACTGTTGCTCATGGGCAGTGTTGTCGTTTTTTCCCTACCAGTATTACTGAAGTGACACACACATAAAGCCAGGGCACATGAAGCAAGGTACAGTAAAACTCCATTAGTCCGGCATCCAATGCTCCAAGACTCCTGATGGTCCGGCACCATCAGGAACCCGGAAGTGCTGGGGCAGCCGGACACCAGCAGCTGAAGCGGGGGGCTGCTGATCTGTTTCAGCAGCGGCTGAATCAGGGACCCCTGGGGCAGAGCAGTTGGGGTCCTCCTGGGTTGGTCCTGAAGCACCGTAGGACAGTGCTGCGGGACCAAACTGGCAGCACTCCAGCTGCTCTGCCCCAGGCGTCCCCAAGAGCAGCTGGGGGGGGGCCCGGGTGGGGGGGCGGGGGG